TTTCCTCTCTCTCTGTGTGTGTGTGTGTGTGTGTGTGTGTGTGTGTGTGTGTGTGTGTGTGTCTGTATTTCTGTCTCTCTCTGGAAAGCACACATGTCCTCTGGTAAAATTTAAAATAGATACCGAATCTAGGGCTGGCCCATCGTCTAGTGTTTAGAGGAGCCAAATCCTACATGGCCAACCATGGTTTGAATCCTGGCTCCTGCACCTTAAGAATACATCAGGCATGTGTACATATATATCCAATGTCCAGAAAGTTTGGAGAAACGGAGAAGAGAATGTGGTGTGACCACATCCCATTTGGAGAGCTTTCTCCTTCTTTCGCGCTCCTTTTCTCTCTCTTTTTGTCTCTCTTACCAGCAAACATGCCCTCTGGCAATTTAAAACAAAAATAAAGGCAACAACAGCAACAACATATTGATTTTTCTTGATATTAGGATTGATGTCAAGTCACTTAAATAACATATTCAATTCCCATATATAAAATAAGAAGAGTTGCCTATTTTATTCTCTGTTCATATGGATAAGTAAGGTAGCTTTTAATGAAAAATAAATGTGTACAGATCATTGCAAATTACTAATATAACATAAGAATTACGAGAGTGGATAAGAGAGAGCTTTTCAAAGCTCTGTTTAAATTGTGTACTTTATGTTGAGGGCACTAAGAGACATGTTTTTAAATTTTTCTTCTGAAAAGCAAACAGTATATAAGATCAAGGTTATATTTCAATAGATTCAGGTCTGTCTCCAGCCAAAAGATTGCACATAGAGCTTCTTATTAAGAACTCTGGGCTATAAACTTTATTGACGAAGAATAACATAAAATTGGTCCATTTGTTAACCCACTAACCAAATTCTCAAATTGTTTCTATCCTAGTGATAAGAGGAATTTTTTTACACATTAAACAATAATAAAAATAGGTCTTTATCTACAAAAGAATAAATTCTGGATAGACTATTCAAATGTAAAAATGAGTATTTATGTGAATTTGAGGGATGTGGAGAAAGACATCCTAAGAAAAATAGGCCACTAAGAATCTTGAGTGACTATCCAAATTCAGTGATAAACCACACTATAAAAAAATTAAAAAATAGGATAGGTTTTGGGGGCCAGCAGTTGGCGTAATGGCTATGTTGCTGGACTCCCACATAGTCGACTGCAGTTCGAGTCCTGGACCCGGTGGCTTAAACTCACACCGGGCGTGTGTGCATGTGTGCCCAAGATCCCGAGAGAAGAATGGAGGAGAATGGGGGAGAAGGGATTGCAGCGTGGTCATCCCCCCTGGGGAGTGATTTCTCGCTTTCTGTCTCTCTGTCTCTCTCTGTCTGACGAGTGCACACGCCCTATAGCAAAAACCTCTCCAAAAAAAAAATATATATATAGGATAGGTTTTGAAAGTATGTTACAATAGGTAACATAGTTTACCAAGTGTTTGTATTCATAATGTATAAATATTTCCTATTATATGCTCAGTGGAAATGAACATACATTATTAACAGGCAATTTATGGACAGAAAAGCAAATATTAAAAAAAATCAATTTATAGTAATTGGAGAATGGGACATCAAATACGTGTGTGTGTGTGTGTGTGTGTGTATATAAAACATTGATATACTAAGTACTTACTGTACCCTAAATACTTGTTTAGCAGTTTTACATATTTTTCATTTAATCTTTACAATGTCCTATGGATTAGGACTATTCTCATTATATAATTATGAAAACTTGAATTATTTTTAAAAGTCTGGAAATTTGCAAGGAAATTGAATCTTCCTAACTTCAAACTCAGGCATAGAGATCTGGCCTTTAAGACACTATCTTTATCATTAAATAAATTGTGATATCATTTTGTATTTCTGATTGTAAAACTTTTAAGTGATTTATAATATCCAGTGTTGCTGAAAATGCAATGGAAGTAGTTCCTCTTGTTTCTAAAAGAGGATAAATCAAGTATCTATCAAAGTTTATGGACCAGCTACCATGGTGCACTGATAACACAATGTTCTGTTATGCTGGAAGGCTTGTGGAAGATTGCCAATTGGTTCCCAAGTCTGCCTGTAAATGCAGCATTGAGCCCTAGTGCCCATGAACCCGGTTGGCTAAAAGGCTGGAGTGGGATCATGGCATGAAATTGTGTTGAGGGCAGTTGCATTGTGTGTGTATGTGTGTGTGTGTGTGTGTGTATGTATGTGTGTGTGTGTGTGTGTGTGTTTCTCTCAGGGTTATACACACACACACACACACACACACATACACATAATTCTTTATTTTATTGAACTTTATTTATTTATTTATTTATTTATTTATTTTAATTTGACCAGAGAGCGACAGAGTGAAAAAGAGAAAGAGGAAAAGTGAGAAAGCAAGTTAAGCCACTAGATCCAGGACTAGAACAATGGTCAGCCATGTGAGTCCAGTGCCCTTAACCACTAAGCCACCTTCCAGCCCCTTTGCCTTGAGTGTTCTTCAAGCCATTGTATCTGGAGTTCAAACTCTGTGTTCAGTCATGTGGGATCTGGCGGCCATATTATATACCATGCCATTGGCCAGTCCAATAAATAAGTTTTTTTTTTTTAAAATTAGTACTTCCATGCTATACCAAGACTTGTACTTATACAAATAAATGTATAAGAATGTATTGCAGCCTTGCAACTAATATTGCAACTAATATTGTAATTGGTAACAAAATAATACCCTAAATCTTAATCAACAATGAAATTATTATATTATAATATAATTGGTTTTCTTGAAATCATTACAAAAAAGATACATTCCATCTATATATCTTGACAAGGAATGATGTCCATTACCTATTATAAACTGAAAAAAAATTGCAAAATATTTTGTATAATAAAATTTCATAAAACGTAAACATAGTAACAAAAGTATTTCTCTTTTTGTGGGTGTAAATGTGTTTATGGATGAACACATAGAGAAAATATCTAGTAGGACATACTGCAAGTATTCAACACTGATTAATTTTTATAACTGAGGCCAAATGGAGACTCAGTTGGAAACTGAAGGGCTATTTCATATACTATCATAAACTACTGTATAGCAGGATACTAAATACTATGGTGACATTTGATTTATAACAGTGAGCATATATAAATTTTAAAATTAAGAGATAAAGAGGTTCAAGTACTCTTCTGATTTTTAAAAATACTAAAATACTTTCTTTATTCATTCTGTTCTGCTTTACTAGAGATGTAGAAATGAACATGGTCCTGCCCTTAAAGAAGGATTCACTGTGAAATAGTTCAGTTCTGGATGGAACCAATCCCAAAGGAATTGAGAATAAATTTTCTCCTGAGTGTAGGCCAAATACCATGTGCATATTAGAAAAATGAAGTATAGCCAAAGGGAAACCAGGTTGCTTGCGTAAGCCAATTGGGACCCGTTTGCTTTTATCTGCCTATATTGCTCTGCTTTCAGAAAGGATGTTATGACATCACTGCGGCTCTTGAGCTTACTTCTCCTTGCATTTTTCCTTTCTGCACACTATTCTCTCAGGGGTTATCCAGTGGCCAGCGAAGGTAAGAATAGGTTATCTTTATGTTATCCAGAGAGCTCTGAAATGATTTACCTTCTAATACCTTCTAGAGGTACTACTCAGAAATTTACTAAAATATCTCTCAGAATAACAGCAGTGGCTTCTTAGAGTTCAGGTGAGACCAATGTTTATACTTTTATGGAATGAAAAAATAGGTAAAATACATTTATTTTTACTTTTAATGGGGGCATCTAGAAATATGTGCAATTCAACCCATATTTTCTCTTTATGACAAATATTTAATTTGTAGATATAAAATATGTTGGAAAATAAAAGAAAAAAATGCACAATACCAACTATGATGTTTATCACATGTTGGGTACCTGGTTCATTCTGTAAGATGTAATTTAACAGATATTTTTGAGGATTTATATCACAGACAGAATGCTGGTTGCTAACAAGAAGAAAATGCAGCCGATAAAAATCATATTCTTCAAGTTTTTTATCTTGTATTAGAGATCAAACATAAAATAAAAATTAATGGCACAAAGAGGTGTGGTATTATATGTTGAAGAAACTTCGTAGTTTTATCAACAGTACTAGGGAGAAATATTCACTTGTTTAAATATCCATTTTGTAAGACAAATGATAATGTGATTGTATGGAAGAAAATGAAATGAAAAAATAATAATAAAAGGAAAAAAATTAAAAATAAAAAAATAAATAAAAAAACATAAAATAAAAATTAAATACTAGAGAAAATTGTACTTATTCTAATTATTTAATTTTCAGGAAGGAAGTAGAAAAATCAGAAAATTTGATTGTATGGAGAAGTTTTATATTAAGTAATTAATGAGGGACCTTTTAACATAATTAATACATGTTCATTTTATAATAGAAGATCTATACAGTTTTTCTGCTGATAGGAATAACATAAAATAAAAATTAAATACTAGAGAAAATTGTACTTATTCTAATTATTTAATTTTCAGGAAGGAAGTAGAAAAATCAGAAAATTTGATTGTATGGAGAAGTTTTATATTAAGTAATTAATGAGGGACCTTTTAACATAATTAATACATGTTCATTTTATAATAGAAGATCTATACAGTTTTTCTGCTGATAGGAATGAGAGCATATTGCAAAAATTCATATAGAAAAGAAAGTTCATTACTTCACTGGAGCCATTGGTATCAATATTTAAATCTTCAATTCCTTTTCATTTTACTTATTCTATCTTTTTTTTTTTTTTTAGTAATAGATTTTGCTGAAAAAAAAATTATTCAGTATGAGAAGTATGAGAAACCATACAAAGATTACAGAGTTTGTACTCTTGGGAATATCAGACGACCCACAGCTTCAGATTGTAATTTTTATCTTTTTATTTATAACTTACATATTAAGTATCACTGGAAACCTAACCATTATCATCCTCACCTTGACAGACACTCGTCTGAAGACGCCTATGTATTATTTCCTCAGAAATTTCTCCTTCTTAGAAATAACATTCACCAGCGTTTCCATCCCCAGATTTTTGAGGGCAATAATAACTAAAGTCAAGACCATTTCCTATAACAATTGTTTAGCTCAATTATTTTTCTTCATCTGCATGGGTGTGTCTGAATTTTTCCTTCTGACTGCCATGTCTTATGACCGTTACGTTGCCATCTGCAAGCCTCTGCACTACACCACCATCATGAATAAGAAAGTTTGCACCTTGCTTGTCTTCATTTCATGGCTGGGAGGGTTTCTGACCATCTTTCCACCGCTCATGCTTATCCTCAAGTTAGATTTTTGTGCTTCCAATGTCATCGATCACTTCTCTTGTGACTATTTCCCCATTTTAGAACTCTCATGCTCAGACACATGGGCTTTAGAGATGATTGGCTTCTATTTTGCTTTTGTTACTCTGCTCTTCACATTGGCTTTAGTGATTCTGTCATATATCTGCATCATTAGCACCATTCTCAGAATCCCGTCTGCCAGTCAGAGGAAAAAGGCTTTCTCCACCTGCTCTTCACACATGATCGTCATTTCTATCTCTTATGGAAGCTGCATATTTATGTATGTCAAGCCTTCAGCCAAAGAAAGAGCCTCATTGACCAAGGGAGTAGCTATCCTCAACACTTCAATTGCCCCTATGTTGAACCCTTTCATTTACACCCTGAGGAACCAGCAAGTAAAAGAATCCTTCAAAACTTTGGTTCATAAAGTAGTGTTTTATAAAAACAAATGAAAGTATATGTCAATATGAATATGTGTCAAATACTCAATAATGGAAAAATAAAATTTATTTTATCAACTACTCTCCTATATTCATATCACAGCTCCCTGCAATGGTGAACTCATCTGTTTAAACGTTCTTTTTAATCTGAAAGTTACTATGTATATTCCTTTAAACTACCTGTAGGTTCAATGTAATCTTTCATTTACAATTCTGAAGAGAACACAGGTGACTGGGTCACCTTAATAACTTTGCTGATTATTCTAAATAATAAAAATATTTAATTCCAACATGGCCAATGTAGTAAGTACTATTTTAACCAACTGACTTTATGTTTTCTCTTTTTTGTTACTAATATGATTGTTTCTTTAAAAAAAGATACATGAAATATGACAAAAATGATATATTTTTAAAAAACATTTTTTGCATTCTATCTGCTGTATTTATATATATTTTTTTCCATTTATCTCATGGACCTTGGTATTTATTTTCCTACTTACAAGTAATTTGAAGTTTATAATATTCTCTTTTTCTCAGTTATGCTGAAGATATGTGTGATAGTTCGTTTTATACGTTCCCTTTCTACCCATATTTGTTTTTGAAAATATATGAAAAGAATATTTAGGTAACTATGATTACCCTTAGATAACATTGAAGTCAGTTCAAAATTTCTTTTATAATAATTGCTCATTTCTACAGAACACATATTCTGTGCCAAATGTTGTACTGGGCATATTCTCAGTCATATCTTATTTAATATTTATAGCTGTATTGAAAAATAGGTATGATTTTCTCTTTTATACAAATATATAAATTGATGATCAGAAAAATTGAATAATTTGTCAAGGTGATTGATCCACAGCAGCTGATATGACACAAAAAATGATCAAGGCTGGTTTGGTGATGCAGAGCAACATGCTGTTCTAGAATGAAGGATCCCTATGGAGGAATACAGGTTCAGTTCTTTAGCCAGCCTGGATACACAAGATACCAATTCCTGTGACCTAGAAGTTCGGGCTGGTTCAGCA